GAAATCACCTGCTAAAGATGCTCTTTTTTCCGCAACCGATTTGCTTTTCCATTCTCTTATTTTTTTTTCTCTCTCTCTTATTACTTGGGTAGTCTCTTTTCTGTGTTATTTACATACACACCAAGTGAAGTCTGAAGGAGATTCGTACAGACGGGTTCAAGTAAAATCCGTAATGGGTGCGGAATCAGTAGGGCAGTGCATAGAGATAAAGAGATACAAAGTGCAATTCTTCCTACTCGCCCCCACTGCAGTTGAACTCATGCATATCAAATAAGATCCAGAACAGGGAAAGAAAAGCGAACGTGGAGCACATCGAAGCGCTGAACACTAGGTGGCGCTGACAGTTACGCAACGGCTGCCTGTTGCTCGACATACGATGATGAAAACATCCGAAATCAACAACAGAAAGAGTCAAAACAATAAAACGCTTTCTCTTTTTGAAACAAGAAAGGGGAAAAAAGCATCTGGAATGCACATCCACAAAGCCAGTGAGGTTCAAGTGTTGAATCGTAATATTCAAGCTGCGAAATTCGCACGAGAAAATACTTGGTAGCTAATCGCCAAGAGCTTTGCAGGTTTTCAGGGTCTTTCGTTTATTTTGGCGTTTATTTGACACCATTTTCCGCCACCGATGACAGAAAACAACAGGGAATTTGACGCTAAAGCTGGGTCTTTAAAAGACATAATTAATTTGTCTCGGTGCCGTTTGGGAACTCTAACGATTAACTATAAAAGAAATGACTTAACAGTATCGGGCCTGACGGTTATCGAACACTTCCTTTTTCGTACCCTTGTTGTTTTTTTTTCTCTGAGCCAAATTAAGGCCACAGAAAATTAAACGGTAATGATGGAATTACGTATTTGCATATATAATTTCATAGAATATAAATCCGTACGCGTGGGAAATCAATCGATAAATACTCGTACATGAACTACTTAAACTATACACGTCGTTAAATGAATATCGTAGAAAAGAACAGGCATAAATATAAGGCACTCTAAATGCAAAAGAATGAACACGTGGACGTCTTCGTACCTGTGGCCTAACGGATGCACGACGATGACCTTTGACCCATGAGCTCGTGACCATGACGACGATCGCCCCGTCCTCGTTAAACCGACGCGAATCGAACCCTCCGGCCGTAAAACGTCTAGTTATTGCACAAGAAAAGATCGTCCGTCCTGCTGATGTGCATTCCAGCGGAAAACCCACCATCATTCCCATATATTATATCATCTATATATCTATATTTTGTGAATATACATGTCGAGGTTATATAAATAAAGAATTTATTAATCTCTCTCTCTCTCTGCTCATAGAAGAACTGAGATATCTTCTAACCTTTATACTCTGCCCACCCCATGATTCAGCGTGTGTGTTTCAAACAAAACGCCACAAACCACCAGCAAAACGATGAATGAAGGAGGGCACATGGGTGCGAACATCAGGACATACATGAACATACCCTAACCCATACAAAAACATGAGAAAAACGGTCAGTCTAGGCAGATTTCTGTCATAAAAGAGAGGAAAACATCACGAAATGTGAAACTAAAGCTGGTATGCGTTATCGGTGTGGTTGATTGCGTGTCGTAGTTATTACTTCAGCTCTGTTCGTTTAGTCTTCTTCGATGATGATGATGATGATGGTGGTGGTCGTGATGAAGTCTCCTCTCTTCATCAGTGACGTATCTCCTCGTATTGATTGTGGAACAAAACAAATTCTCTTTACACCGTGTCTCGAGCTCCCCGTCTCACAGCGTCTGTGTTCGTTGACTCCTTTATGATTCATGAATCCTCGAAGCAGCGATTATCCCGCACTTCAGCAGTCTAGATTCACCTGTCTGAAATTATTATTATTATTATCATTATTACTATTTATTCATTCATTATTTACTTTTTGAAATCAGATCGGGGTGATTTTTCTTGGTCCACCTGTATATTTGTCTTTTTATTGTCGTTTGTAATATTTCTAGGTTTACGTTGCACATCCAACATGTAATCGAAGAGTTTAAGTTCTTTTCACAAGCAGGTATTTATGGCTCAGAAGAATTAAATGACCGCTGGATGTCCGATCCGTCTCCCTGACAGCGGGACGAAGATCTTATGTTGCATAGTGGTCGAAGCTCCCGAGATACTCCAACCCAGCTCTGTAACAAAACTGGTACTGATCCTGAGAGACAGAGACAGAGAGACGGGTCAGATCTGTGCCAAACATTCAGTCGAATCAGATGTGAGTGTGCATTTATCTTAAACCTGCACAACTACTCATCTAGACGTTTCAATGAGGATTTAATACAAACTTTAATATATGTAGGACATTATTCAGAAAGGTAACAGGGTTGATGGTAACAGAATGGAAAGTTTTATAGTTTAGTTTGACAGTTCATTACAAAGATTATTCATTGCTGATATTTCTACATATATCACTTTTTAAATTATGAACTAATTACTATATAAAATCATGGTAACAGGGTTGACTTTTGAAGATCATCTTTTCAAAAGAAAAACTGAATGTGCATTTGTAATGTACTTCAAGTCTTAAAAGTATATTTAAACACATAAAAAATTGTGCCTGCAGATAATATAATATTACTGAAATAAAATGTCACTTAAAAGGGACATCGGATTAAATTTTCACTTTTTTATTTTTATTCATTTAGGTATCTGCCAGCTCAGAAAAGAAAAGAAAACACGCAGCCAGTTCGTTTTGGGCTGCCTGAGTCTGAGACTGTGTCATCCAGCGAGCTGTTTCAATCTGTTTCTACGTAGCTGGCTAGCTATTTGAATCAGAACACCTCCAAGCCGTATATTCACGTGTCTTGTGTCAACGCCCCACAGAAGAGAGGAGCGGGGTCAGCAGCAGCTCATTATCATTTAAAGAGACATGCACCAAAACTGCTCGCTGTGAACAGAGCTGTCCTTGACAAAGTAAAAAGGGTGCTGTTTTACACGATTGAGGAATTTTAACCAAAGTATGTTACAGACATTTCATGAAGACCCTGAAGTATCATTCCAACTAGTGGAAACTGGGCATCCGATGTCCCCTTAAAGTGACTTAAAGAGAGACATTTTCATGACTGTGAGGTTGTTACAATGTTTACAGATGTTCCTGTTTTTGATAATAAACATAAATATGAATCTGCATCCAAACTCAAGCTACTGTCAAATGTGCATTTAAAAGAGACAAAAAATTAGACATGACAGTGTTTGTTCACGCTAAAGTATATTATTAAAAATAAATAAACAAATAATACACTAAAGAGTACTTCTTTTCCACAAAGCGAAAAATATGAGCTTGTCCTAGGAGAACTTACATCTTAAAAAAAAATGATTATGTTGAAGTTTTTTTGTTTGGTTTCAAATTTATAATTATAGTACATAATTTAATATGGGACACATATGATGGTAACAGGGTTGATGCATGACTTCATTTTCTTTCCTTTTTTTAAATAATGCATCGTTAACTACAATCTAAAAATAATTGAGATAATAAAGACAAAATGGTAAATTATATGGTCATATATTTAGTTATATAATAAATATGCTGATACATCAGGAAGCTGGGAGAAGAGAAAATGTGTGAGAAAAATCCATCCATTTATACATTGGGAAGTGTATATGACAGGTGGTAAAAATTAACAATTCCAATGACATTATTATCATTATTATTACATGACAATGCAAAATCTTGAAGAGAATTTGGAATAACGTGCACTGATGAATCGCTCACAACAGGAGCAGCAACGTCAGTTCAGAAAGCAAACGCAGTGTTAATGATAATCTAGTTTCCTAAATGAAGCCGCATGAATTTAGGCAGAAAGAAGCCATGACGTTTGAAACACAATCTCAGAGAAAAATCCATCCATTTATACATTGGGAAGTGTATATGACAGGTGGTAAAAATTAACAATTCCAATGACATTATTATCATTGTTATTACATGACAATGCAAAATCTTGAAGAGCATTTGGAATAACGTGCACTGATGAATCGCTCACAACAGGAGCAGCAACGTCAGTTCAGAAAGCAAACGCAGTGTTAATGATAATCTAGTTTCCTAAATGAAGCCGCATGAATTTAGGCAAACTAACCTGGATGTGAAGCGACTTATTTATAATATTTTGCTAATTGCAGGCAAAACCATTGTTATTTCAAGCACTGGTCAATTTTGATCCATATCACGTCTTCTATCAGCATTAGAGGAGAGATAGATTTTGCACTTTATTTATTTGCGTCTGTAGATTTCAATTCAAATCCATATCTTTAAAGAGTTTTTTCTCCAGTTCAGCAGCACTTACACACACACCAAAACTTTATTCCTGTCTATATTCTGAAGGTTTTTACTGAGGGGTTTGTTCATATATCATTCACACTTATTTACACGACATTTTATTCCTAAAAACATTAAGTTATTAACTGACATCAACAAAAATGAATAACTGCTGTAGAAATATATTGCTCATTAGTGCTAGCTAATTCATTAACTAATGAGGGAAGTTAGATATAAACTTATAGTAAAGTGTTACCAATATTTTGTGTTCATTAATTCTATCTTGAGTAACAGTGTTGAGTGGCTGAGCTTAATAAATACAATCAACACTGTTTTGTGTAAACATTGTGAAAAAGGTAATTAAATCATGTATTCGTCTTCCTGTCAGAACAAATGATCAAACGATGTCACTTCCTGTGGGTGTAACAATTTCAAGTAAAGTATTTTATGTAATGGCGGACAATCAAGCGGTAACAGGGTTGAGGGTTATTCATTTATTTATTGATTTTTTTTACTGCAATGAATTGAATGTCAACTGTGACGTTGTGTGCTTGTAATTGTTTGACCCAGAGACTTCAATCACAACCTCATGGGAGGGATAAAGACACGTGATGTGTTTAAAGCAGCTTTTCATGCTGAATTATTTGCTTTTGGATCATATTTAGTTCACAGAACAAAGATGAGTGTTTCACCATATTCATGAACAGTGGCATCTGCTCGGCTCTGTTTTTCTTGCACAGACTCGTGTCTTTCTTACCTACAGTGGACCGATATGGGTCCGTCCTGACCAAACTGCTCTTTTGTTTTATGCACTTGGCCGATGAAGTCGATGAAGCCTTCCCCTGATTTTGGCACGCCTTGTTCTGGCCAGTCTGTGAACTGGAACTGCCTGACGGTCCGTGACTGTCCGTCCTGAAAGCAGAGAGAGAGAGACAGATGAGAATAAAAGAGCCGCGGCTGCTCTCTGACGTGATACACGAATCCATTACATTCACATTTACGTGCGAGAGACAGACGCCGCGCTTGTCAAACCGATGACGAGTACATGACGCATCCTGAACGAGTCTGAGAAGCTCAAGAAACAACAATAATTAAGAAACGCCACGTTGATACTGAACTGATGCCTCAGTGCCAGCGAGATATATTACTGTTCAAAAGTCTGGGGTCAGAAAGATTTAATTTATTTGAAAGAAACAATACTTTTTTTATTCTGCATTATTTATGCATTAAATTGATCAAGAGTGACCGTAAAGACATTTATAATGTAACAAAAGATTTCTGTTTCAAATAAACGCTCTTCTTCTGAACTTTCTCTTCATCTGTGAATCCTGAAAAATAAAATGTATCAGTTTCCACAAAAATATTGTGCAGCACGACTGTAATGATGCTGAAAATACAGCTTTGATTACAGAAATAAATTACACTTTAACAGATATTCATATAGAAAACAGCTGTTTTAAGTTGTAATAATATTTTAAATTTTTACTGTATTTTTTTTATCAAATAAAGGCAGCTCTGGTGAACAGAAGAGACTTCTTGCAAAAATATTTAAAAAATCTTAATTATTAAAATTTTTTGAACAGTAGCATCTGATTAGAGCAGCAAGGGAAGGAAAAGGATCACATACTGTATATATGGTGATATATGGTATTTACATGGTATCAGCGCAGTAGTTTTGGGTGTTTTTCTGTTTTGAGCTCCAGCCGCCCACGGCTCAGAAGCGTGTCGTTTCACCTGAGCGTGTGAATGAGTGACTCCAGACACTAAACCTCCGATGTGGGCGGCTGAAAAGCTCCTGACGAGAAGCTCAGAGAGTTCGCATTTCTTTAGTGATTTTGTATATCCCAGATAAGCAACGTGAGAGAGAGAGACAGATATAAAATAATCAGAATAAATGCTGTGATGGAATTAGAGGCCTGTGAGCTTTACTCAGACTGAATATGCATTATAATACACAAATCACAGAGCAGAGGATGGCCGAGGGTCTGGTGTCTCACCCGTGCGTCCGTCACTTTAAACTCTCGCAGGATGTACTGCGGCATGTTGTATTCAGCCATTGGATCCACCACAAAGTACTGATATCTGGCTGAACGCTCTGCTGGCCAGTACTGATGGCACTTTTCCTGATGGACAGACACAATACATCAGTCATGCAAAAGCCAAAATACAACCAGAATGCAAAAAGCATCAGAACAAATACCAGCACTGAGAGGAATAATCGGTAACACTGGGGTTTCAGCAAAGAGAAAAATGAATAAAATGAGCACTCAAATCTATTTGAAAGAAAATCACGTCGCTGTTTTCTCAACAGTGGCACATGAGATCATGAAGTTTGAGGAAATGTCTTGGTGTTCTTTCAAAATCTGGATATTACATTCAGTCACAGCCGAAAAAGTATCAGCCGAAAAGTGCAAAATGATCCTGGAGTCATCGAATTGAATGCAAATTAAACCAACAACCATGGATGACTCTGAAAAATTAATGCTTACAGACCGTTCAAAACGGTAAACAAATTTGAAAACAAAAGTGACCATTTTGAATTTGGACTCAGAGTAAATATGTAAATATTCTTAATAAAAAGTGTACATTTACTTCTACACTGTAAAAAAGACAAAAAGAGAACTTGTAAATCAAATCTGAAAAGATTATTGGAGCATAAATACTATTTTTGTCATCCTACTACAAAACTTCATATTTAATTCAAATGCAATTTCTGATTGAAACGCATTTCTATACCATTTTTCAGTGTACTTTCTTCAGCAATATATAAACAAATAAAAAGGATATAACAATGCATAATCTACCACAGAACACCACTGTTAAGACCTTTTTTTAAATCTCAAATCTTTTATCTAAAATTACGTTTTTTTGTTTTGTTTGTTTTCCGCCATTGGCAAATAATGTCGTCCTGTTGTAAGCACATTTAGTCTGGGTGTGATGCAGATGCAGATGTAGAACACTCACTCTGCCCATCTCTCTGAGTTTGGTCAGCATCACGACGATGGTGGAGTTGTGTTCCCACAGCATCCTCCAGAAGTCTTCTGTGGTTTCAGCTAAAGGACCCTGCGTGGCGATGTAAGCCTTCTGTTGCCTGACACACAGCGAGAGACACACGCTCACCTTCACGGTCACAGACGCACACAGACGGACAGATCCGGGCTCTTCCGCTCACCTGTATCCGTCGATGAAGCTGGCGTTGATGTAGTCGGAGCCCTCGACTCCTCTGATTGGCTGCAGACAGACGCGCGTGGACTCGTAGGGCATGATGTTAACCAGTCTGTTCTTGAATTTGTTGCAGGGCAGGTTGGCACTGATGAACCGTGAGGTGTGAGCTTTTGTGTTCGCTAACCGCTGCAAGAAACAAAAATCATAAACAGCTTTAAAAAAAAAAAAAAAAATCTAAAGTTTGTCTAGACATGTTGACTTGAAAACAGGAGTTATTGAAAGTTTGAAGGTCTTGTGAATATTTAGACAGACAGTGAGTCAGATAGACTGAAATTCAGACAGAAAGAAAGAAAGACAGAAAGGCAGAAAGATAGACAGACAGAAGGGACAGAAATAAAGATAGACTGACAAACTGATAACTAGTCAGATAGACAGACAGAGAGATAGACACAGACAGACCTAGAGATAGACAGACAGAGAGATAGACAGACAGACAGACAGAGAGATAGACAGACAGACAGA